TCCCAGCCGGCAGAGAAGCGGGCTGGCTGGCAGGCAGTAGTTCCAGATGGTGGGTGCAAGAGGTGCTGTCTTGGGGGAGAGCCGATGAGCAAGGCGCACTGCCAGCCCTTTTCCCTGAGCACCTGAGACGCCGCCAAGCGATGCCTGAGAGTGGAGCTCGCTCCCAGCCTGTCCTCGAAGAGCACCTCCAAGCCGCCAACAGCAGCTGCCAGCTGCTGCTGCCTCTTCCAGGGAAGCAGCTATCTGGCGCTCTCTCAGCACCCCCAGCACCAGCCCGGCCAGTGGCCGCCTCAGCACCCGGCAGTGCTTCCTCCTCTTCGTCCTGCTTCAGCCGCCTCGGCTCTGGAGGCTGCCTGGGCTCACCTCGCAAAGTTTGCTCCTCTGTCGTGGTGGGGGGTAGCTGCTGCTGCTGAGTGCGCCTTTTTTTGAGGGGGGGCCCTCAGAGGAAAGATGCCAGACCTCCGTGTGTGCATGTGTTTGTTTGCATGCGCGCATGCCCATGCGCACCTGTGGGGGGACCCGCCTCATTCTGTTTAATTTTGTGGGTACTGATGGGGACTTTTCTCCTTTGGCAAGGCGATTCTGTGAGGGTTTTAAAAAAAAATTTATGTCATGCCCTCCCCCACCCCCGCTAGGCGGTCACCGGCGCTCCCTCCCTTCTCCGCTTCTTCGTTCTGCTGCTGCTGCTGTTGCTGTTGGTAGTGAAGAAGGAGCCGGAGGGGGTCGTGGCCGGCGATGAGGGCTTGCACGCCCCTCCTCCTCCTCCTCCTCCTCGGAGCCCCAGCTGGGCTAAGGAAATGCCTGGGCGGCTTCCTGGGGCTCTTGCTCCACTTGGCGGAAAATCTGATGCTGCCCAGCCTCACCCAGACTCTGCCTCCAGCAGCCCCCCAGGTAAATTGACTTTGAGACCCCCTGCACTAATGGTTGAGCCGCAGTCTCTCCATGGGAAAAATGTGCACAAGTACTTCTATGCCCCTGTGACAAATGAAACAATTTAAATGGCATATTTTTCTCAAAATGCAATGCACCCCACATTTCTTACCACAACTCTTTGAGATAAATTTTATCATAACATATGGTCTATCTGAGATTGGAATCCTGTTTAAACTCTGTGTTGCCATTTCATCTCTCTATTTTAAAATTATTTTTAAAATATGTTTAACATTGTTTTTAAACTTAGTTAATGTTTAGTAACATCATTTTTCATAGTATTTTAAGCTTGCCCCTCATGGGGAAAAAGTGGCATATAAATTAAACTAAAATAAATATCTTGGTGGTAACTTGAGCTGACTTGATGATCAAATGAGATTCTATGCTTTTAATGCAGATTCTCTTATTACTGAGAATACTGAACATATAAAATAGACTGATTCTAGGACTGACTAATGATCCAATTTGATATGTATTACATTTGCAACTGGTTCTGGCTCTATGAACCAGAGTCTTGGACCTTCTGCTTGCAAAGTATGAGTATTTTCACTCATCCCTTACTAAAAATCAGACATAATCATTAAGGGTTTCTTGACTCTAGATGTGGCAGCTCTAAACTGTGTTGTTACACTGCTCCAAGGTCTTTCAGTTAATTTTCCTTCCTTCCTGAACTCCCCCCCCCCTTTTATTTGACCTCAAACGATGAACCATAACAATCTGAACTTTTCATTTCTCATTACACAAAGGAAGTATTGCAGCTTTCTGTATTTTATCTGTTCTGTGATTTCTTGGTTTTTATTCACCAGCATATGCCTGGTTCATGGCAAAGTGCTTGGCATAGAACACAGGTACTACCAATGTTTTTATATGCCACCAAGTTACCTCCTACTTACGTTGACCCTATGGATAAGTGACTTCCAAAATGTTCTATCAGCAACAGCTCTACTCAGCTGTTGCAAACGATCCATCTCATACTCAAACATCTTTTTTTCCACTGCCTCCAACAAAACCAACAACAGATACAGGTACCAACAACAGAAGAATCAAAAGAAAACTGCAATATGTGTCACCAAAATAAAATGTCACGCTATTCTATGATAAGGCTCAAACTCATAAAACTGAAGTCAAACTCATGAATTTTACCCAGCATGGGTACTTATGAGTTTGCCTGAGAATAGTAATTTCTGAGCATCTGAACTGAAGCCAGCACATTCACTCACAGCTTAAATCTGTCCAGGATGGGGAGTTTTTATAATAGTACAATAAACACAAGATGAATACCATCCTACTCAAATTCTGAGGGTAACTAATACATGGGAAATCATGAAATATCACAGGGGAGGGAGAAAATAGTAGAAGGAGATACTATTAATTAGCAGAATGACGTTGCCAGTACGTACTCAACCTACCCAATATTTTTGGAAGGGATTTTATAGGAATATACTGTATTGTGAGATGGTTTTCATTCCTACATCAGGCTTCCATTTGCAGTCAGAGCATTTATATTAATGGTTACCACTTATGATTTATGCTTGTCAATCAGACCTTATACACTGCCACTGTCCCTGCTTTTTTAATCACTTCTGTTGTAGGGATACACACTTGTACACAGTCCCTTTTCTCCCTGGAACTTCCTTTGTATGATTTGTTAAAAATTCCCTTAAGTTTATCAATCCTTTTCAATTGCTCCCTACCATCAAATGCACATACCTGCTAGCTATCTACTCAAATATGGTATCATTCGCCTTGGAACACACCAAATGAGCGTGTTTAGAACTCACGACAGATTAATCTGAATAAAGTCAGGGCAGTGTTGTATAGTTCTGAAGAAACTTCAGAGTTTTGGAAAGGGCTATTGGAAATAGCCCTTTCCAATTGCAAAAAGGTATTTTTCAACCACACATGGGAAACTTTGCTCCCATTCTTATTTTTTATGCCATCTACAAGCTGTGTAGTTTCTTCTTAGTTCTAAAGCAAGACTGTGCAACTCCTGCTGGAATCTAAACATTGTGTCCTCATCGGGTCTGGCAGGTCAATATTAGTATAGAGACAGGTTACTGTACAAAAAGGAACAGGTTGTGCACGCTCTTAGTATGTTCCTGGTTCCATACTATTCTTTTCCTTAACACAATTAAAAAAGAGAGAATGATTTGACTGCCTATTTACCTTGTGAGAACACTGGGAAGACATTCATCTCACAAATATACTACTGGCAACTACACAGTATAGAATTTAAGATTTGTGCTAAGGATCTAAAAACTTCCCATTTAATTCTCTCCATTTTAATACATAATTAAAATCACACCCAGTTTGGTTAGAGCTACAGAATAAGAACGTGTTATTTATCTTATGGCATGTTTCCAAACTTACCAGGGAAAATTCAGTTTTGCTACAGATGTGGCTTCTCTATAAAGTCACTGTGCAGGTATCAGTATATATAGATAGACATGCACACATGCACATCCTCTCATACAAATGCAGCTTGTGTTCTGTAAATATAGAAAGGTTCTGCCCAGCTCAAAATCCTGACCTAGATTGGTCTCATGCAGTAAACAAGAAATTGTGAGGATTTTTCTGCTTAGCATGAGAAGGCAAGGGTTTTTTTTTCCTCTCCTCTTCTCATTACTTTTGGGGAATTGTGCATTTTTATCTGTTTCCAAGACTAATTCTGAAAAATGTATAATACAGTACCAGAAAATGCAATGTGTTG